ATTAGTTTATTAATTTCACATATGCTTATAAATATCACTACATATTAGAGCCTGATGGGGATTTAATCAAAAACAATATTGTTCGCTTATATATGTTGTTCTGAAAAATATTTATTAAAACTATGAAAAATCAACGAAATATTTATTAATTTCAATAGTTGAAATCATGAGTCAATTAAAGCTAGACCATCATTGAAAAACCTGGAAGTACTGGATGGTTGTTTCGTCCTATTGTAATACTCCTCAGCAGTGCACACCCACGATCTCGCCTCGCGAGATTCAAACCCAGGATCAATCACTCTCGCGCACGAACGCTTAACCACTAGACAATTTATTATTTTATATAAACGTAAACATTGGTTTACCAGATTCTTCACGGTACTATATTTCCATAAGAAAATGTGACTTTAAGCATATATTTTTTTACTAGCTTTATATTTAATTATCCAATAAATGAGATTGTTAATGTCAAACCACGTTAAAGTATCTATCTTATTTATGTGTTTTCTAATTATATATTTTTCACATGCCTGATTATTATCACGGAACAAAATAAGTTTACATATTCCATGTTTATTTAATATACAAACTATAATAAAAAATAGTTAATAAATACATCGTATGATAAAAAGTACATTTTTATCAACACTAATTATGTTTATGCATTCAAATATATACATGACTTGATTACATTTGAAAGATCGATTATCATTTATAATGTTATCTCATTAAATTACATATAAGTTTACAGAACAGAGATTTCAACTATTTAACTATATGAGGACTGAAATTTAAAAAAGTAGTTTAATCATTTGTACTGCGGTGTGGGTTACTTATATCCACACAAGTAGCATATAACGATGGTCAGGTATACAATGGTATTTTAGTAGAAGGTCGATGGGGAAAGAACGGGAACGGAACGCGATTGGTATGAAAATGCATGAACAATGAAATCTGAGAGAAGATACTGATATTTGCAAAGGAACAGTTAAGTTTGAGATGATGGATTGATATTTTGCAATTTAACTATTTACTATATGGTTTTTAGATTTTATTCGGATGCTCTGTAATTTAGCGTCAAGTGCATTCGATTGGCCCCTACTCGTGTTTTTGTTCACTACAGGACAACTGAATCACAATATGAAAAGGGCAAAGAAAAATAAACTGTAGAGTTTTATCAGAAACTTCACTTTCTGATACTCTCACTTTTGAAGTGTTTTTTTGTGAAAACTACTGTTAAGAGATATCGTGTTATTAAGTGAATCATCTTAGGATCAGATTTTGTTGAGCATTCAACGTATCATACCATATTTGCAACCACTTGAAATTCATCAGTTAACTTCTTTTAAATATAAAAAATAATCTATTACATGAATCAATCATGGATATGGTATATTGACATAAGATACTAATAATTTATTTGGCTTTCAGGCTGCTAATTTACTATTAGGCGCCTCATATGAAAAGAAAAACTTATATTCCCAGACTTTCTGTACTTAAATAGTCATGGCGAAAACAACAGAACTCACTTATTCTCATGCATCTAGATGGTGATTTCAAAAAAGAATAAATTTAGTATTGATAACTATATTACATACATACTACGGAACTATAATAAACAATAGTATCGAGATATTCGCACAATAATTTCCAGTACGAACAACTTGGTAAAATTATGTTTAGTGAAGCAACTGTTGGATATCGTTAATCATAGAATCCATTAATCCACTATTAGACTTAAATGATCAAAATGTATTTCTTTAATTTTCAGTCCGGTTACTCCAGAAGAATTACAACATCCATCATTCTGTTTAGCTTTTATTGTCATGGATCATGATTTGATTATGTCGGACGATTTCGAAGGATGTGTATTTATTCGACCTTCATTACTAATGAAATCATCAAATAAACAAGAAATAAATCCAGAGAATTCGAAACTAGTTTTTTCAAACTCTCGATTACAGAATAGATCTGCCAATGAATACAAACAGCTACAATTATGCTTACCGCTGATCCGACCGATCAGTAAAAGTAAGTCAATATATATATGAAAATGACCCTTTGATACATAAAGGTTATTTTGACTAAAATTAGGAATATCAAATGGTTAGTGTTCAATTTTTTTAATGGATGTAGTTTGCCAACTCATGAAATCACAGACTATTAGTATAGCGACAAAACTGTACATATTCTAGTGTTGTTGATAGAGTTAAAGTTGACCCTTGTAAATCACAAATTATATACTCTTACTGTCCATGTAACCTTGTATCCTAAACACATCACAATCGTTTTATGCTTATACATTCTATCGTATTTTTAGTTTGTTTCCATATTTATTTGGCTTTAAGGATAATATGTTCATGTTTTAATGAAAAATGAACGTCGTTTGGAGTAATATTGGTGCACTAAGCAATAAATAGCTTATTCATCCTATATTTAACACTTCTCATAAGTGTGTACCAACAAATCTACAAAGCGTCCGAGTCCAATTAGACAGGATCCCGTGCTTTATGTTGTTAATTTCAGTTAATTTATAGCCCAATGTGATCACCAGTCAGTGTTGTCGGAGAAAGATTTTATCGATTCCCATATGTGTAATTTTACAGGCCATCGATTTGAGTTAAAAAAGCCATGAAGTTCGAATCTTAAAACTATTCACTAAATAATTATTCATGTAGGAAATACTCATGATAAATTTAATACTGTTTCAATTCTAAATGTGAAAATTAATATACAAGTAAGAAGATAGCTTGGCCATCTGAAGAGCTGTTTTTAAAATGGGATTTATAATGATAAAAAAATTATAGCTCATGTGTACCGTACACTCTTTTAAATCCATTTGTTATATAATGTTCAAAATCATTTTTTTGTCATGGAAAACTTTTATTTTCAGAATATGGCGCATTAGATATTTTGGGTCAACGTACCGACTCATATGCCCAAGAAATATTTAAACGATGGAAAACTCTAGAAGACAGTGAAATAAATCAATAATAGGAAAGTATACATAAAATAAGACAGTCAATTCATTAAACTCTAATTAATTCATTTCGTGTTTTCTTTTAGAAGGGCAATAGAGCAGAAGTTGTTACTTCAATATTTACTGGTATAATCAAGCTTATTTTCTCTTTATAATTCGTCTTTACAGTCATCATATCGCTATCATTATGAATAGTATACTGTATAATCAAGGTTTTTTCCCTAGAAAAATGAATTAAAACAAAATGTTCAAGTTTTTCAATAGTTGTAATGTACTATACATTCACGTAATTGTGTTTATCTATACACATTATGAAGTAATCGACATTTTATTATATTTTTTATGTAAGCATAATAATGATGATTATGAAAAACAATTTATGCTTGTTTGTTTTTGTATATACACAAATAAGAAATACTTCAAATAATAAGTTTATATTGTTTATTATTAAAGCATAAACATCGGTACAAGAATGTACTATATATGCGCCACATAAATCATTTGATATGTGTGAGGGTTGGAATACTGCTCGGATGCCCAAACCGAAGCAGGTAGTTTTCTTAGGTGGTAACACCACGAGTGTTCGATGTGAAGGTCTGATCCACAAGGTAGTGGAGCAACGTCAGGAGATGCAGTCCCATGGTAGCCGGTGTCTAACAATTGGTTCATACGCCATTTTCCCCCTCACAATCCTGGAGCCCATGTGCACCACTGGATTGGTATCAAGGTTTCTTTCAACTTCCCAATGTGGATACTCCGTACTCACCAGTCTGGTTTGAGTGCCGGACTTTCGCTTTTCGTCTTTTCAATTTTGTAAACAACAGCCCCGTCGCGAGGTAGTAAGTAGGACTTCCCTGACAGTGGCTGTATACACGTAACTATGTGAAAGCATTTCGAGAGACAGAGCTGACTTTTTCCACCCTCAGGTGTACCAGTGCATTTTGGGGCTCATATTGTTAGTATGATAATTGGTCGATTTTTACGAAAGAAAAATAATATTAAGAAAGGTTATTTTTATATGTAGTAGTTTATAATGATACTGAGGTGTGTGAAATCATTAAACAAAATTATCAAAGATAGTTAAAAGTAATCAAGTATGAAATATAAATGTCCATAACAGATGAATTAGTGTTATACCATGAAATGAATTAAATTATCGTAAATTTTCAAGTATTGAATAAAATGGATGTTGAATCACTTAACAAAGTGATAAAAAATTATCAATAAATGAATCTATGCAGTATTTTCAGAAATATAAGACGTTTGTAAGAAGTAACTGACAGGAAAACCCTGTAACTAAGTTTCATGCTATTTGACACTTACCAGGAGTGTTTGCATGTGAGCTTGAGAAACTAAGGGACACACTGAGACTAGGTCGATAGAAACCGATCAGCACTAGCAAGGTAGTAAAAAATACATAAATAATACAACAAATACAAGATTTCCGAGTTTTATTTTTGTGTAGCGTTTCTCAATTTTCGTAGAAAAGTCAGAAAATCTTGGACCGAGTGACAATTCTTGCTTATGGAATGTGGATAAACACGTACTGTTATAGTTGGAAAAACATATTTCTCATAAGATTCTGGTAATGTCATCGACTTCATTTGTCGAAAACGTTTTATGAGCTTATCCCTTCAAAACGTTTCTGTGCAATGGTGTCGACATATTTTTTGAATAACTGACATTCATCACTTAATAAATCATATAATCCATGTACTCTAAACGGATTATTACGTTCCACTTCAGGCAACTTAGGCTTTGCCATGTCGATATAATTCATTGTCAGACGTTTAAATGACAGACGGTTAGAGTACATGTGTTTTCAGCGGAGTGTATTTCAAAATAATTTCGACTATTCGTGTTTATCAATACAGACTATTAGAAAGTCGATTCTCGCCTTTGCTATTACACACTTGATAGCGTATTGCTGAAAACTGTTGGGTTACTTAACCACATTAAGAACCCTTCCAATTTTACAACGAAAGAAACCCGTTGATTCATGAAAAGAAATGAAGACATATCACTGTAAAAAATTTTCTTTTCGATGATATCATTTCCTTATGCTGTACAATCACACTAACAGGTAAGTTTGGCAAGTAAGTCGTTTACAGTAGAATAGAAGAGTTTTACAAAATTATAAAAGAATAATGTTGAAAGCTCTGAAAGGTTACAGGTCAGTTTTACAGCACATCAGATATCATAACAATTAATACAATAGAATTTTGTATGTCCCATTAGATGTAAATTACAAACTTTATGGCTGCAAAGTCCGACTCAAAGCTTTTACATGGTGCTGTTAGGTAGTGAGAGAAATCTTGCTACCTAATTTGAGTCGGCAATGATGGACGGTGGCTAGCAATGTAATCCAGGATACGCGTTTCGTCCCATTTGGGGCTCGTCAGTTGGATGTGCCAAGGTCCTATATTCCGCTGCTAACTATCATCCATCTCTCTTTATAATGCTTGTGACGTAAGGCAATGTCGAGACAAAAAAAACGTATTATCCAAAGTGTATTTGAAAGTAAGAACATCATTGATACATTTTACAAATACTGATAATCTAAATACTGATACGTTGCTTTTTTTAAAAAAATGGCTACTTCATGCGATAAATGTTTTGTTATTAAAAAAAGGGACAAACGTCAATTTTTCCCTTCTCAATTAACAAGAAAAAGGAATTGCTTGAAAATAAATTGACACAGTAACTAAGTGCACAAATTCACAGAACACAACTTTTTTAAAATTTAGTTACTAAACAAACTAAAATCCTTTTTTAGATGATTAATAATAGGGCTAGATGAGAATAATATACATAAAAAAAGAAAACACAATTAAATAGATGCGTAATAAAGAAAGAATATCACTAGTAGAAAGACTACTTAAAAACATTGAAAGTAGATTGTATTTTAAAAATAGTGAAAAGACCAGAAATTTTGAAATATACTAAAATTACATTGAAGAATGAGTTTTGCACAGAATGTTTACATGTTAATTAAGAAATACATTTAATCCCAAGTCTAATATTAAACGACAGCGAATCTATACAAAGTTGGAAGAGAAAAATATAACTATTACAATGAGAAAAAACACACGAGAAAAGTCGATGGTAAACAATGATGACAATATCAAAGATAACAACCATGGCAACAAAGATAAGATTGAAACACATTATCAGTCATCAAATAATTATTACTAACAGAATACATCACAAGGAAATCAAATAATTTTACAGCCAATATTTGATTAATCTGAAATGTTTTCATGTAACATTATTACAATTATATAGAAATAATATTAATAATAATAAAGATGAATAGAAAGAAACTAGTGTATACTTTGATAGTAGTTTGCAAAAAAATTAGTTAGATATCAAATATTTGTGAAGGAATGTTCAGGAAGAAGTATTTAACAATAAGTAAGTAGTAGTGTATGGCATGATTTACAGTAACAAGAAGCAAGGAATATAAGAAATGAAGGTATTGTTCAGCAACTGAGCTAGATACATTTTTAATACTATATGGAATCAATTAATTAATTCATGTAAACAACTCTCTTGATACAACAACAATTTACAAAATTTTCAGATTATTATCTTGACTGTGAAACAGGTTCAAATTTAAATATCACACCATATAGCTGACCGCCTAACCTTCGGGCAAGCCAAGAATTTTTAATCACAGCTATTTTGAGTGTATCCACGGTGAATTTTGCATTTAAATTACAATGAATTGCTCGACCCATACCTTCAATGACAATCAAGTCGACCTATATAATAAACATTGAGCACATAATTATATTTTACAAATACTGAACAATTTCAGAGTCACAAATTACGATTTCATATGAACATGATTACAAGACGTTTGATAATGTGAACTCATATATATCCTCCGAGCAGAGAATGAAGAAGAAAGCACAAACAGATATGCAGTGAGATTATAAGATTTGATGCTAACAGAGATGAGTACGATTCGAGTCGGTATGATATAACATAATACATAATGACAGAAATTGTCAGTAATTCCAACGGACTAGTGAATCAACAAAATTATATTCTTTTTTAACTTTGAATTAAAAATTTGAAAATTATTTACTACAAATTACTACCGAACAACAGCGAGAAACAACTATGGAATGATCTATTCAGATTGAAATAAAGTTTGATGCATTTAAATTTTCGAAATCTTCATATACTGAGCAAATGATAGAGGATTAACGGGGAAAAATAACCATATGTATATATATATATATATATATATATATATATATATATATATAATTTTACCTGTTCACGTTCTGCCAACTGAACCAACGAGCTAGCAATTAGACGAAAATCTAGACAAGGTGAAGTTTGGCCATTTTCAGCTAACATAAGTTGTCCATTATTAAGAGATTCAGCTATTAAAGGCTCAAAAGATGCTATCATGTGTAGGAGTAGTTCCAATTCTTGATAAGTTATATCATTGATAGCAGGACCTAGACAAAGAAAAACAGTTATATAAACAATAAAACATTGAAATATGCACAACTTATGCAAAAACTTGATAAAAAGTAAATTTACAGTAAAAATCAATAAAGATTTTCTTAAAAGTCGCTAAACAAAGTGAAATGTTATCCTTACTCAAAAGAGGTAAGACATTAGCATTATGATCACTATTATTATTATTAACTCATCAACAACGTACAGATTTGTATACTTGACATTTATTTATTTCAACACATAGATAATGGTACAAAGAGGCACCAAATACATGTGCGCCACACAAATCTTATTCGATATGTGTGAGGGCTATGATACTGCCCGGGTGCCCAGACCGAAGCAGGTGGTTTTCTTAGGGGGCCACACCCCGAGCCTTTAACCTAATGGTCTGATCCACAAGGCAGTGGAGCATCGTAAGGAGATGCAGTCCCATGGAAGCCGGTGACCAGCAATTGGTTCATACGCCATTTGTTCCCGCAGGATACTGGAGCCCATGTGCACCATTGGTTTTGAATCCGGTTAAAGCGCCGGACATTCGCTTTTCGTCCTCTCATTTTCGTAAACAACACCCCCGCCACGAGAAGGCAGTGAGTAGGACTTCCCTGGCAGAGGCTATATACGCTATATACTTGACATTGAGCAAAGTAATAGGAATAATGCTACAAACTAGTTATTTAAGTCTAAATAAATAGAATAGAATTAGAACCTTTAATCAAGTAGCCGAAAATCGAATACTTTATTCATTGAACTATTGTAAAAGAAAAGTGATCATCAATATAAAAAAGCACCGAAATTTTTCCATTTATCTACTGTTCTACAGACTTAATTGCTAAAAATTTTATTTTTTTCAATGGATTTCGTTATATTTCCTGGACCTAATATGGCTTATAATTCTATTTTCACCCTCGCCCTGATGAGTATGCTCCAATCTAAGACATCTTATTGTTACCTAATTTAAAGTTTTACCCAAAACAAGGGAAAATTAAGTAACAGAAATACATTGACAAGTATTAATTACAATTGCTTTGTACTAGTCCTTTTTACTTTATGACAATTTTGTCGCAAAAAATATATATGCTAAATAAGTTACTATAGGGGTTTTATGCTTTGAATTACGTGCATTTACTCTAATGCATTTATGATCCACTCTGACAAAAAATAAACAACTAAAAACTCGTTAGTATAAAATAATTGTGTTTAGTCATTGTTTGTAAGATCTAGGTTATTCACTGAACACAACCATATCCATAATTGTATCATACGGTTTACTACTAACACCACAACTTTCAAGATTTCACCCAACAGGGAATAGTCTCTTTCAAAAGTCCACTTAATAGAACGCAGAAACATCTAGTCAGAATAAGTAATATGCTGAAAATTGATCAACTCAAAAAAGTGACAGGAAATGGCCAAAAGCATTTTAAAGTTTCACTACTTAAAGAAAACATACGGAGATCGGAAGACGTTTAGAAAAAAAGCCTAGATTATGTAATTACTCAATTTCTACTATCCTCTACCAATTAAACGTGGACAGATGATAGTTTAAACAATTGAGTATAATTAAACAGTAACTAGACAACATCATGAATCAAAGTCTACTAATTTATTAAATCCTGTTTACTTGAATTGGCCGCCATTATTACTTTACATCCACGATTTAGAAATTCCATAGCAAATGGTAGTACACCAAGTATAATATCTGCACCACTATTATCGCAGAAAATTAAAATACAACGATAAGGTGATCCGGACACGCTGATTCGATCAATCCAATTATCATAATTGTCAACTAGCCAAGGTCTAGACTATAAGAAAAAAATATAAATATCTGGTAATAATGAACAATCCCATAAAAAACAATATAATTAAAAAAGATATCAATAATAGAAATTTACCTGTATATGAGCATAACTTTATCGAGTTATACCTATAAGTAAGGTGGCGATGTTCATGAAAAATAAGTATTATCAAAAGCGTACTTAAAGCGAACAATTTAAAGATGTTATGCACTGAGAGACAACCTTGTAAACAGAAATAGGTTTATAAGCAAGATTACGAAGTACACCTGTCAAGACTGAACATAGTGCGCGGCTTTCTAAAATAAATTCAGCGAGATTAGATTAAAACTTATAACTCAGTAGTGAAAATTTTAGGCGTTTGTCCTCTGAAACAACTCTTTTGTACAAAGATTTCAACCCACCTGAACTTTATCTAATATAACATGAAAGTCAGCGGCACCAAATTTATTCTTTGGAGCTTCCTTTAGGAATTGAATTGCCTCAGCTGCACCCCAATCAAACATATTACCAGCCAAAAGACCTTCAATCAAAGACAGTTGACGATTAGACCAATCCAATTTAGAAAGTTCACTTAATCGATCCATAAGAGCAGAAAGAGCACCTCGATTTTCAAACTTTCAAAACAAAACAAAAACGAACTATTTATGATAAAATAAAATTGATAACACGTTAAATAGATACCTTTTAATGTCCTTTTAATATTATAAGATGAATATTTTATTATATATGAAGAATCAGAAATGTTTAACGCGACTGAACAGCCAAATTACATGTCTATGAGTCAGACGGTGAGACTCATATTAGTGTTTGACAGTGGACAATGGTAGTCAATGATTGAAAGACGAGTAACGAAGTTACTATGTTAACGAGTTTTCTTACATCTTATTAAAATTTTCTGCTTACTCTTTTCTGTAAACAAAAGACATCTCCAAATCCATATTCACGTAAGAAATGCTGTTGAGCGGATAAAAGGCATCTTACAGTGAGCACTCCACGACCACTTGGATCAGCACTCAATTCACGTAGGAATCGTTTATATCGTTCAGCGAACTGATGTGAACGGTCAGAGGCATCTGATAATGTGTCAGATTGACTTTCTTCAGCTTTTGCTCTGTGATATTCTATACAGCTCTGGAGTATACAAAAAGCAAATAAATTACATTAGATAATTATTGAAGCTGAGTGATATTGAATATTGCAATAAAAGAATGTATTGTGTGACGTAATTGATAAAAAGCGTTACGTTTTACTAATAAAATGTTTTCTATAACTTGGTTACTTAACAGTTACCAGACATTAATTTCAAACAAAATTTATTGAGACATTTTAGACCAAGAAAACTGAGAAATTAGGAAATAAAAACAGAAGCCGACTAGCATTAGTAAACGACTGGACTAGGAAACATACACTTAAAATTCATTCCCTTTCCATTGACATGTTTGAAATTCACTTACAGATGACTCATGAAAGTAATCACTCTGGAATTCTTATTTTGGTTAATAGAAATTGCTAACCATGGCAATTTAAAACGTTTATTCATTCTTCCTCAAATCACTGATAAAATGAAGAAGTTCTTACAGTTCAACTGATTTAGTGAGTGAGAAATACATTTTTCAGTAATAAATAAAGCGAAGGACAAATAAATTTCATGATATACATTGATATCAAAGTATATTAGGTTTTTGACTCTCAAGTTGGATCACAAATGTGGAGATAAATCATCTGTTTTTTGGAAATATGCAAACAAACTAAAAATCCAAAGCTTTGAAAACTATTATAAGACGACCCAATACGTATGTATAGTGTGCATGCGTAAAAAAATTCGTTTATGGTATTTTTATACTGTTTCAGCAATGAGTTCTCATTTAACTCATTATTTGTTGGTTTGTCTTTTACTGTTCATAACTTACAGTTAAAATAATCAATCGCCCTGATCAATGCCATAAGACGATAAAATTTATCAGAGCAATGTGATGTATGAGCGCAATATATTTGGAATAATGTGATCACATATTAACTTGTTAACATATTTATATGTGAAAAATAGGTCATACTAAACAGTGAAATCTAAGAGAAAGACAAAGACAATCGGTATAAAACAGTATGAATCATACCACTTTGGATAATTTTCGTCTCATAAATCAGCCTGATTTGATCCTTGTTTTTCTTTGAACACATAAATAATGGTACAAATAGCGCCGAATCCGTATGCACCACACAAGTCACTTAATTTGTGTGTGGGCTATGATACTGCCCGGGTGTTCAAACCGAAGCAGGTGTTTTTCTAAGGGGGTCACGCCCGTAGCCTTTGACCTAAAGGTTTGATACACAAGGTATTGGAGCGACGTCAGGAGATGCAGTCCCATGTTAGCCGATGACCAACAATTGGTTCACACGCCATTTGTTCCTTCAGGATACTGGAGCCCATGTGCACCATTGGTTTGGAATCAGGGCTTTCCAACTCCCTCAGGTGAACGCGCAGTGTTTTCCGACCCGATTAATGCGCTGGAAATTCGCTTTTCGTCCTCTCAATTTTGTAAACAACAGCCCCGCCACGAGAAGGCAGTGAGTAGAACTTCCCCGGCAGTGGCTGTATACGCGTGGCCATGCGAGAGCATTTCGAGAGGGAGAAAAAACTCTTTCCACCCTCGGCCGTACCAGGGTATTTGGGGGCAATCCTTGTTTTCATTAATGCTTGAATGTTTTAACAAGTAAATGTGTAGTCCACTTTCTCAAAATATACGGCCCTAAATTATCAAATAGTTTCGATAAACTCCGTTTTCTTACTGCATTATCTAGAAAAGTTAACAAATTCGATAGTGTATTGATCGAAGTCAAGCTTCTACGCCATTAGATTGCAGCTTACTTGTCTAAAGGCTAAGTGTTAGCATACAAGACCAAAGGTCCTGGGTTTAGTTTTCGGTTACGGGGTCGCAAATGCCCATTTTCGAACAGTCCCACACTAGAACAAAATGGTTGTCCAATGCTTTCAGGTTTTCAATGGCTGGTTAACTTATATCGGTTTGTGATATCAATAAAAACGATACCTGTTATTCAGTACTGTGCCATAAATGACCTAGTTTTATACAGACTGAGAGTTCGTATTTATGACTTGTTGTTGTCTTAGAATTAATGTACAGAAGTGAATCTTTAAATTAAAATATGACTGCAGGTACGTCAGTTGACTTTTAACGTGCACAGATTGGAGATTGGGCACAGTAGAATTATCCGTGGACGTTATTATTTATCGTAGCCAGTTCATGGGAATTTGTGTTGTTGGGGTAAAGTGAGAAACGCAATACGTCATAAGTCAATTACAGTAAACGTTAGCCTTTTTCACTAATTTAATATTAGTTGATAAAGGCTTAGTATCATGTTGAGTAAATAAAAACTCTGAAAAAATCCATGGATGACGATTTTTAGACAATTGCAATCGAAGCTGTTCACATTCCATACACAACATCATACTATTGACATGAATAATAATGAAGGAACTGATATACTCGTTGTGCTTAGCTACCTATTCAAACAATATTCACAAGGACTGTAGAATAAGTGAACTAATTTTACGCTGCTTCAACTTTCTACTTCATTTCATTTCAATTCTATATTTTCTAGTTTATTTAACAACCTATTTCTTTTGAAAGTTGTTTCTTAGCAAAAAAAAGATTTCAACTCGCTGAATAATCGATTTTATGAATACTTCAATGAAAAGTAGTTTTTTCTTAGTTGTAGTCTTAATTGAACTGTACCTTATGTTATATACTATTTTTATTGAATCCTATTAGGCTTTTACTGAGTGTACCTCCATTCTACCTAGTTGATTTATTAAATATAATATTTTCTTATTTATGCATTTTATAATACTTTAAGTATTCAGTTCTACTAAAATGTATATGAATTTAAAAAATAAAGCAAATGAAATTACCATCAAAATCAAAATGAGTTGGAAAATTATTTTATAGTTTTGTTTAATTCGAAGAAATTTTTCTGAGCTAGATGGCTTCGTCGAGGAACATTCATTATTCTTCTAAACAATGTCATCAACACAAACTTCAGGTAGAAGTGAAATGTTAGAATTTCTCCACATATAACTCACAGTTTGTTCTGTAGATCTCGATGTTGTTTGGTTATTATTGAACTTTAACCTGTTATTGACTACTTCTTTATTTTGATTGTATCTCCCATTGATTTGATTTCCGGTCCTATATTTGTCTGTTATTTTTCTGATTGATTGATAGATTGAATTGATTTCAATAAGTTTGCTGATTGATTTAAGTATCAAGCTTCTAAAAATTCTCTGGTTTTTTTTGGTATTCCCTCCATCCAAGATTTCAACATTTTTTACTTGAATATATGTCCACAGTTGTCCACATACATTTATATGAGACGTCATGGCGTTTAACCACTAATCGAGCACTTCACTTCTATCTGAAGTTTGTGCTGATGACTTTATTCAGATGAACAATCCAAGATCCACGACCAAACCATCCAGCTCAGAGAACAAAACTACACTTAAATCTATTTAATACTACTTACTTCGAAACAACCTAACCAATAAATCCTGGCTTCTTCATCGTGAGTTAGATCCCATGTATCTGGTGAATAATTTGCGGGTGACTCTAGAAAATGAAACATTTCTAGAGAATGTGTAAATACACGATCGAGTTCAAAGTTAGGCAGTTTTGAAATTTCGTGTTTCTGTGACGTAGACTTTGAAGAACTCTTTAAAGTAGACTTGCTTTCTTCTGCTTTTTGAGCGATTATTAAGTGTTTTGGATTCGGTACTTTACCAACTGAAGAATTCACAATTGACAGATCATGGGGAGGAACTTTACTGAAATCAGTTTCTCCTTTACTGTGATTGGTCGCATATGGTTTTGATTCAAACGGATTATCAGAGAAAGGAGTATTACTCGAGCTAACTACATAGTTCTCAGACCAAAGTGCTTTTCGTTCCGCTGAATTATTATTCTTACAAGTTTTCAGAAATGCACCTACTGCCCCTAAATACCCTTCATGCCGTAAAAATAAGGCTTTGTATTCTCCGCCTGACCAAAACCGAACGGCATAAGTAATTACCTGAATAGACAAAAAGCATGAAAGTTAATGCGTTAGATCAACATTTACAATGTAAAGCAGAATAACATTACACAGTTCATAATAATTCGACAGAAACATTAAATTGAGAATGTCAACGGTGAAGCTAAATGGATAGAATTAGTGAACTCCAAGGAATATGATAAATTCCCTTGATTCTAGTGATAATAGGAAGCGTTTTACACAATTTACCACCTTTTTGCAGCATACAGAACGTGATCGCAGTGGCAGTAAAACAAAGCATGAAACCATTATTAACTTTCAGTATCAGATTTGATTAAATCCAAACCAAATGGAAAATAATTATCGTCCAGAAAAATAAATTTATTATTGACGGAATAATAATTCTCAAAGATGACCAAATACTAGCATTTACTTGTGTTTCTCATCTTATAACCCCAAAACATAATATGACATTAAAATCTCATAAGTACGGTGGAGCCCGACTTTGAAGACTTCGATATACTTTCTCCTTTAAAAATGAGAAAGGAATTTTTCCAGTATTTGGATCATCCTAATCTAATCACTAAACTGTAATTACAAATACTGTAAACAATTGTACTCATCCCTATATTTCCACACAAAACAGTGTTTTCTTACCGCAGTTACCATGTACTCTGATACTTTATGCTAGTTAGGGAAAGGGCATGTTGGGAAAGTGTTATTTGTTCCCAAATCACGACATGACAGCAGTAAATCAAATTACTGACGGTGGGAATAAGCTGTGTTGGAATGTGTTCATTTTCCTGACCGAGATCTAGTAGGCAATTATAATCTATCGTGAAAGATATTAGGCAACGTGGAATGAGGTCGGTCAGAGATGTGGATGAATTTATTGTTAGTCTTCTTCTGAATCTTAAGTTTCGATATTATCATATACTTTTCATTTTTTTTCGAACGGTATTCATCATATTTAACTTAACAATCCCGTTGGAATTATAATTTCTACTCGTTTACTTTATGTCATATTAATTTCATCGTATTGTGTTCGTGTAAATGGTGGGGATTTGGACACTCACATTTACGCCATGCTCTATGTTGTTTGTGACTGACAATCTAGATGTACTCCAAGGAGTGGGATGCATACTAGGAGGTTGATAGCTTCATTAACGAGAACATATAATAAAAGTGTAATTTTTATCCGCAAAGGAAAATGCTTACTTCCATTGTTAACCCATGTCCCCGAATAAAATATCCCCCAAAAATAATTCGTGTAAGGCTATGCTGTTTAGCATATAGACAAGCCAATTGACCTATATTACTGTAAATATTAATCAAGAAAAATAATGATGTTAGTATATATATATATATATATATATATATATATATATATATATATATATATATATATATATATAACATAGTTTTATGTGGGAAAGATTTCATTCTTCATGGAATCAGAAATAAGTGAGGTTGGTGAGTTTAGAACAGATATGAAACCACTGTCCATGGCTCTCTGGATCATGATAGTTTTCCGTTTACAATCAGTTTACTGTTAGAATCATCTTAGAACTGGATGATTTACTAAGTAAACCAAGATGGAGGACAGCCGCCCACTAAATAATCTACGTCGATAAACAATACAATACTGAATCCGATATTTAAGTATATTTAATGATCTGTAGCTTCATAAAATGGTAGAGCTTAGGAGCTGGACACAATCTCATATGAATGGTCTCCATCATTAACTGATCCGAGTTATAAGAAAGGACATAAATCTCTTTGTGATAATTACAGACGAACCAATCTAAGACATACTCGAAAATCACTAGTATATGATTACATATCTTACTGAAACATAGCCTGTCTATCGTGAGACCACTGAAAAAGCAACGATAAGCTTAGACTCAGGACACTGGTAAAATATAGCAAATCGGTTGGTGAAGATGTGTCTCAATCGACTCACGTGGCTGGGACACGTACTGCATATGCTCAACCACTGTCTATGTTAACGCACAATGTTGGTTGGCATCGAAGTAGATAGAAAGAGAGGTAGAAATGGCTAAAACAAGAAACGGTAGGTGCAGGCTACTCGGTCAAGGTACTTATGGGTATTGTAACTGATAGTCGGAGACAATGAAATGTTTCAAAAATGGTTGCAGTAAGGCGGACGCATTTTTCTAGTCCCACATCCTGAGTTTTAAAACTGTTCAATACTGCTATCCCACAACTCCATTCTTTCTTCTTATATCATATTCTGCGTTTATTCTGTTTTATTATCATTACTACCATTTCTATTGATTCGATATTTATCTTGACAACTCCATCTCATGATATTTTTGTTGTTTTGTTTATACTATTTAAACTTGGATTAATTTTGATTTGGTTATTTATTTATTCTCTGAAGAAGTGGCCTACACTAAGTCACTAAACGTCAGAAAACCTAATTTTTCTACTAATTAGGATATTACCAACATATTACTTTTTATTCATAAAAATCTACCCAATGCTCAATTTATTCGAAATTATGAAGTCAAACCTTGGTAATGATACCTACACATCAGGTCTAGGTTAACCAAAAGTCGAAGGAATGACCGTGAGCAGTGGTGAGCAACAAAAGCAAGAGATGGAAAAGGCGGCGGCTGTAGGTAACACAAGACAGCTTTTGGGACTAATAAAAGAAACTGGAATTAAGAAGTCAAGTGTAAGTGAGACTATCTCGGAAAAAGACGACACTCTTATCTGCTCCTAGTCCAGACGTTTAGAACGATGGGCGGAACATTTCAGAGAAGAATTCGGTTGGCCTTCAGCTACTCTACAACCACTCATCATTCACAGACCGCCTGAATGGAACATTGAAGTAGGTCCCACGACTCTACCTGAAGTTCAAAAGGCTATAGCTAATCCGAAATAAGGAAGAACAGCTGGTCCAAATGGATTGGCTCCAGAGGTCTTTAAGGATGATGGTCCAATTTTAGCGATTAGGCTGACTAATATTTTAACTAAAATTTGGGAGTTGGACCTAATTCCATCTGACTGGTCGCAATCACTGATTGTCCCAATATATAAGAAGGGGTCAAAATCATCCTGTGATAACCATAGAGGGATTATTTTGACTAAAATACTAGCTTCAATAATTATGGAGCGCCTAACAAAGAATTGTGAACTATGAACGCGAGAAAATCAGGTTGACTTCAGACCTGGTCGTGGCTGCATCGACCGCATACTCACCATTTGTCAGGTTCTAGAACACAGGGATGCTTATCGGTGTCCGACAATGGTGGTCTTTCTTGACTTAAAAGCAGCATTCGACTCGGTAGACCGAGAGGTTCTGTGGCAATGTCTGTCATTGAAAGGCGTACCTCAGAAGTACATAAACCTTGTGAAAGGTCTTTACTCCAACACTACTAGTCGAGTCAGAGCTTATGGCGAACTCAACCTCAAGTGGTTTCCGTCAAGGCTGTCCACTATCTCCATTTTTGTTCAATTTCATCATAGACCTACTGATGGAAATAACACTCTAGTCGACTAAATTTTCAAACATTGATCTCCTAGCAGAAAGTCCACTTATCGAATTGGAATATGCAGATGATATAGTTCTGTTTGGCGAGGACGCTGATAAAATGCAGTGTTTTGGTAGCACTGAACATCAATGCCAGGACGTTTGGGACGCGTTTCTCCCCCTTTAAATGCAAGTTGTTGCTCCAGAACTGACCTGCGTCAACTAAAGATAGGGAGTGAAGTAGTCAAACGGGTCGATAGCTTTACTTATCTTGGAAGTGTGGTCAGCCGTAATGGGTTGGTGTCTGACGAAATCTCAGCACGGATTCCGAAAACTCGTTTAGCTTTTGCCAACTTATGTCACCTATGACAAGGGCGAGATATTCGTCTATCACTAAAACGATGAACATACTACACAGCAGTTCGTTCTGTTTTACTTTACAGCTACGAAACGTGACCATTAAGATTATAAGATACTAGTATTTGACCACAAATGTCTTTTAAATATTTCTCACATCTCGGATCACTGGGTAATTAATAGTTAGGTTAGACACAGGGGATTAGGGGATTATAGTAAATCAGTTGATGAGGTATATCTTCATCGACTGAGATAGTTGGGCCATGTGTTGAGTATGCCTGAATACCGATTACCACGACGTGCAATGCTGACTAGTGTTGGGGATGGTTGGAAGAAAATTGGGAGCGGCCAAACGAAAACATGATCAGTGCTTTAGGTCAATAACTTCCAGTTTTAGCCATGTTAGTGGATGCAGACTACTTGGTTGGGGTCCACGCGACTATCATAACCAATGGTTGGAGACTTTGTGTGACACGACTCATAATCGATCACACCGGCGTAGGTATAAACACTCTCTGTCTCCCCTTAAACTGTGAGATTAAAATTGCTATATACCCTCCTTTCTATCAACTAGTTCTTTCTTCCTGTACTATATGCTTATACACAATCTTTCCTTTATATATTACTACCATTGAAGTGACTTCTATGAATTCGGTGTTCATCTTGTACTAATGAGGTGTGGCAACTTGGACCGATGCATATATGTGCCTGGTCCTATGTTGTAGCTGATTGACTGACTGATATTACGTATTGATGCAAACGGAAGTTGACAGACACGCACTTATATGATTTAATAAGTTAAAAAAGAACCAGTAACCATAAAATTACGATTCAGATCAATGCAGTAGATGAATACCTACGTTGATAATTCAAGTTTGATGCTAATTTTCACAAATAAAGCGGCAAATAGATAAAAAAAACATTTATAAAGCAAAAGTGAATCATACAATAAACTTCTCATGATATGTACATAATTTTATGAACGCGTAAAAAATATGGCGGTCGAGAAATGAATTGATACATTGCAACTTATGCAACTATTCACATAGCGTAAAGAACCGAAAATTCATTACCACAAAATGATGTCGGGAGACTTTGTGATTCAATTTCGAGTAATAATCATCATATGAGTGATAAACTTTAGAAAAGGATTATTATTACAAATCAAAACCTGTCGTCCTTAAATCCTGTTTTCACAGCTGCTTATTGTTCGAGGAGATTCTAATTATGAGGACATATAAAAATGTAAAAACAGAAAAAAAGATATTGGTGGGGTCCGAGTTTTCACACGTTTAAGTATATACCAGTGACCGACTAAGCGATAGTCTAAAGAACGTATCAGTAATTAATTTTGTTCTTGGGAAACATAAATCGATAGCAGAAACTACTACTGATTTTGAAGATACCTTCACTTTCAGTTGTTAAGATTGGAGAAAAATTTTCCATGATAAAAAAATACCATATATCAAAATATCATGCCATTTGATATAGTAATAAGATATTATATCTGATCAGTAGACAGAATGATGTATGATTGGAAGTCATTACTAACGCCTTTACTGTTAAAGTTTACAAGATATAACACGGGATTTATTAGCTGTAAGATAAGTGAAAGAAATACTGAACACTTACTTGCTAACTGTAATTAGTAGGGACTTCACCATATCACCTAACACACGAGGTTGTTCCGGATGACGGGCGGCTAAACCAAATGAGCTCGCAATTACATCCCCAGAAAGTCCAAGTGTTTCATACGCACCTCCATATATATCGCGTACCAACATGTCAACATTGCGGTGGTCACCGGAATCCGCCATTTCCAGAAGCTCATCGAAAGTAAACTTTCCTATAGTATTAAAGTTATCAAAATTACTAGCAGAACACGACAGTAACACAGGGAAAAAAGTTATCGCGCCCACAGTGAATTTCAGACAAAACAACCAGTAGTAGTCTTTATCATATTCACTACATAAATATAAGGGCATCGATATGTCATGACTTTAATAATATGGAAAATTTAACTGTTCAGGAAACTGTACAAGTTTTTTTGGGACATCAATGATGCCATTGAAACTAAATCAGACTGTAGATGATGACTTGGCTTTACTTCATGCAAAAACTAGCAAAACTAGAGCTTTAATTCGAAGTGATTTAACTAACGTTTTATTGATTACTGTGAAAGAGATATGCTTCAAAAAGTGAAGAGTACTAGTTCATGATATAGTCTTACCTCCAGATAACAGCGTTCCTAAACCCCAAAAAGTGCCACCCCCAATAGACGTTCCACCAACCCTTTGGTAAGACGTGGGACTTTTAACTTTCAAGAAACTAACGCCAGACCCAACATTGACCAAAAGGAAAGGGAACGTACTCACCAAGCAATTTGGAACAAAGATGTGAGCTGGAGTAGCATGTTTGTCATAATAAAATAACTCATCTGGGATGTTTCGAAGCATAAATACACATCCTCTTACAAGACAATCCATTTCATCTTCTTTATCCAATTCAACTCCCAACTTCGAACAAATTAGTTCACGATAGCGATAAGCACCCCCACCAGTCACCTTGATCTTACTAATTGTTTTTTTGGATGAAGCACCTTGATGTGTTATGTTAAAAAGAATGAAATCCAAACATTCTTCTATGTTCTTAGTTTCAAATTTCATGAAACACAGTTTTTGTCCTTCGTCTTCGTGTTCTGTGTACTCATAAAAGTCAAAAGGTATTTCATTTTCACTGACACTTTTACGACATTGCTGGGGTATAGAACGTCTATACCGGAAGACGCGTTTGTATACTAATTTCGCAAGTGAACCACCGATGTCTAGAGCGAATATATTTTCGTGAGCACCCTGATCAAACGATGGGTCAGAAACTTTTGAAATATCGACCGCTGAAGCATATGACATGGCAGATCTTTTAAGAAATGAATCTGGAAATGAAAAATACAACTACATGAGTCAGAAGAAAAAAGATGCAAAACTGGTGAGATGTTTTAGCTGATATATCATTTATTTTCTTGTGAACACTGATAACAAAACAACAAGGTAAATACCAAATCTGGATACTTGGTAAACATTTATACTGAAATAATTATTCCTTATCCATATATTTTTAGCTGGCTTCGCAAGTGTTTATAGACCTAACTGAAAGTTTTTAATTCAGCAAACATTATTGTTATACCCTTGGTACATAATTAAATTCTTACATGACAATATGGATTCATAGGTTAGATGATTCGGTCAGTCAGCTACAACATAGGACCAGGCACATATATGCATCGGTCCAAGTTGCCACACCTCATTAGCACAAGATGAACACCGAATTCATAGAAGTCACTTCAATGGTAGTAATATATAAAGGAAAGATTGTGTATAAGCATATAGTACAGGAAGAAAGAACTAGTTGATAGAAAGGAGGGTATATAGCAATTTTAATCTCACAGTTTAAGGGGAGACAGAGAGTTTATACCTACGCCGGTGTGATCGATTATGAGTCGTGTCACACAAAGTCTCCAACCATTAGTTACGATAGTCGCGTGAATAATTGGTATGACAGGGCAATCGTTAGTCTACCATTAACAATTTGGCTGTTTCGAAACTGAGTTTGTGATGCAGAAGAGTAATTTTTTGAAGAACAATGTGAATGAAAGTTCAATATCAACCTAATGTAATCAATCTGAACGCATTAGCAATTGCTAAGAATTCGAAGACGTTATTCATTAATGGGCGATTTGTACTGTTTTTGAATTTTAACAAAAATTTCAGTTTTTCTAATTACGGCAATGCTTATCTATCGCGACAGACCGACTCTTGTTACCAACTTAACTGAAGAAGATGGGTTAGATGAGTTGTAACTTTTGGGTACGTTTTACTAAGTCGATTGGATTTCTTGTACTACTGACGATCTTGCAGTAATGGGGATAACCCGAAATCGTCAGAATGCAATTAACATGCCAAAAACAACATTTGGGTCTGATCACAGAACGCAAATGGGTTTCTCAAAAGCTGCCGAAACTTCTGAGGTTTTGTGCCATTTCCCCACAGTTTTCTATATCGGCTTCGCGAATATTTCCCCAAAACACAAAAAATAGCCACATTCGTTATTAACATATTTCGAAGTCGTGTTGCCACTCAACGCAAGTGGATGGAGCACAGGGAATTCATAAGAAAAGCGACTACATTTAATATGGTTTAAACTCAAATTGGCTGCATTTTGGACCGTCAACTTAATATAGTTGTACAGCCCAACAACGTGCAGTTTTAGATAACACTCAGAAATTCCGCCAGTTTCAAATACTTGCCAGGACTTTTTTGTGACCTTGAACCTGGCAAGATGATGAGCTGAAACTTCTAAAGATTGTGTCATGTGAGACACAGTTGTAGTGTTTTTACTGCAATAGAAATATGCAGATATATCTATGTATCAATACCTAGTGGTAATGAATGATCTGGTGGCACCAACTAGTAGATATCATGAAACTAATGATGTATATGTATTGGGGTTTTGACAATGCATTTACATGCAACACTTTCATAATCTAAGTTCGCCAACACATTCGACTCAGAATATTGAAACGAGGAGGTTTAAATATATTTTTGAAGCCTATTTAAATATTTAGAAGCGTCTAATCTAAGCTGGTTAGCAGTTACAATGGATGTGTAGATGCATTACGGAGAGCCCCCAGCTAGGTTTGTCCAGTAAAACTGATGAGGTCAGCACTACTGTCGAAGACTCACTGAACTACTTATTTTGGGGACGTATTTACGAATACAAAACTATGGATGTTCAGAATTGGGAGCAGGGTAAATCGACATAATCCTCAACGATGTGGGAACTTCTTCAGTGTATCAATCAACAACAAGCCTGGCCGGTAAATAGTTCTCATATAAGTTGCCATTGTTGGGTTGTGATTAACGAGTTTTCAGATAAAGTATAGTAATAACAGTGAGTAGTGGCGTGTAAAATGGTGGAATTCATATGAATAACGAAGGGGACGTTTACGTCAGAGAAAAACTGTCTGTTCGTTAAACTCGAAGCTGTTGCGAAATAGTTTACAGCGTCTAAAAGCGCTGATGACGAAACGCTACACGCACTACTTAAAAAGGCTAGTGGTGTTTTTCTTCGCAGAGTTTATTTCTATTGTTTTGGTAATTCTTTACGACTCAAGACTACTGTTTTCGATTCAATGGAGTTTATGCTAACTAAACTGATCACCACGTTTTTTTTAAAAAGTAATTTATCACATCTTCTTTTCAGTGCAAGGATGTTTTGTATATAATCGCACTTTGGATTCTGACAGTTTACAGCTTTTTACTCTTTATGACCATCAGTTTCTCATGTCTCCGGGTATTGTTAGTGTCTAGTTTTGTTAAAACCTCTCGTTGGTTGCTGGATAGTGCAAAAAGCACTTGCCAATGCCCAAGCTGTCGATACTCTGTGGAAAGCGGCTTTCATCATATGACTCCAAAGGATGGTACCACGAGTTTGGACGAACTGAACGCCTGTGTTTTTCAAACGACCAAGCAGAAATATCTGCGTGTAATTGTGTCAGTAGTGCTGCTCGGATACAAACAGCTTGTTATCTGAAGCCATTACAATTGTGAGTGCTATTAAAAGGAGTATCAGAAAGCTCAAATGGTACTTGCTAGGTCGATAAACTAAATGATGAGAAGCTCTCTTAAAAACACTCACAATCAACTAACTGACAAGGACCGAAGTAGGAAGGATGGCCTATAGAGAGTTCTGTTAGAAACAAAATCTGAAGAAAAAAGTATCTTTTATCCCAAGTTCTGCAAATGGAAGCCAGCAGGAAACACTTAGAAAGCCCTGCCTTAAATCTAGGTCCATTTCTGACCGGGAAAGCAGCGACCTGACTACCCAAGTAATTGACAATCGTCGAAGATCCAGCACTGTTTATAACGCCACTGAGCTGGCGACTCCAGCGTCTGTTGATGAGTGTGTGCAGATTAAGAACAATATACAACCTCACGTTTCTAAAGAAAAGTCAGTTTACCAAAAGTAACCGAAAAATTAGATACTGTTCATAGTGATAGATCGGTTTTCTTCTGTATAGTCGAGGAGAGTAAAAGCTCAGTACCCAGAACTCGTTTTGAGCATGACGTTGAGTTGATAAAACAGCTACCAGAACAGCCTATGCCTCAGGATATCTCCGGAATCAGCTTACTAAAGGTATATAGACTGAGTAGCCAAATAGATTCGAAACAGAATCAAACCAGGTTGCTAAAAGTACCATTAAAATTTTCCAATGGAATGGACTCATTAGTAAAAAATGGTCCAGAATTTTGCACTGAAAAATTGCCACTTGCGGACCGTATAAAAAGACGAAAAGCTGATAAAGAACTGAAACCAAGGTTAGTTGCTGCAAATTTGTAGAATTGTGGTCTACTATGATATTTATACCGCTCTAGCTATGGATTTAATTCTAAAATTGCAGATTTGTCATGATGTAGCTGCTTAATCTATGGGATCTTACGTGGAAGTCACACAATTGTCTACAGTGGCTCATCGTACTGTAACAACTACCATTATATGATGGAGAGCATATTCAGGCTGGAGATAGAATAATATATTTAATATGAGTAAAAGAACATTTTACAGAGCAATCACGCCTGCGAGGCTAGGTCATGCCATCCGAATAATTAGAATCCACTAAATTCATCTTCCCGCTGTCTCCATCGTTGGGTTTTATTCCGCGTTAAATGTTAACTGTCTATTTTCCCAGTTGTCTCGTGCTCGGCTTGGGGGACCGCGTGGTTAAGGCCCAGTTCCACCACAAATTTTAGGGTGGCGGGGCTTCAACAGCGAGTGATGCCGAAGCCTCTTTGAGTTAGCATAAAGCCATTTAAATTGTTTTTTGATCTGTCACACAAATATTCAGAGCTTCCTCAACAAGAGTTTGGAGCCTGGTAAACGTATAGGTCTTACCAAGCCGGATGTAATCGCAATCACAGAAACGTGGCTGACACAGCGTGTTGACAGTAGGGAACTTGATTTTTAAGGTTTCACATTCATGAGAGCCGACAGAATCCCGAAGCTTAAAACAGAAGTAGCTCTATTCATTAAAAACAGTATTCCACTAACTGTTATTGATAACATATTCCGTGGAAGTGAGACGTGTGAATGATTTGGTTGCCGCTTGAAACAAAAAGGACAAGGAATGCCAATTGATTAGATCTACTGCAGTCCAAACTGCGAGGTGAACGAGATGGTTTCAACTCTTGATCAACACGTGGTTGATGCTTAATATTGGGGGACTAATGACTCAACGGTAGTCCGGAAAAATCTGAGGACTGAACCGGCAAAACCTTTATTCGAACGAAAACAAATTGATTGGATTATCACATGTGCACTAAAGCGACACGCAAAAGAAGCAACTAAATACAACCCGGACTCCGAAACATCCTTACTTGATCACATGTTGAACCACTGTGATGCCACAAACTCCATTGTATACCATCAATAAGTTCTAGTTCCGATTTCCATATAGTTGTCAATTACGAGCATGTTTCAACCCGAGCCACACCACACGTCTGGAGGCAAATATCAAAATATCGGGAAGCTCGAAATATTTTGACCCCAACCCTCTGCAAGTCTAAAAGGTTGTACAAAGAAAAACTTGTCAAAGAATCTAAAGACTACCCTAAACGCTTATATTCGTACATGAACCAAACGACTAAAACAAGAAGAAATATTTCAATATTATGGGGAGACTTCAGTACTGCATCAATAAAAGATGACGATGATGGTACAGATCAGGTATCCTCAAATTACTTTATGAATGCATATACCTAAAAGATTCCGTTTCCTCCACTTCATATAAACCCTCCACACAAACTGGACTTTTGAAGAACTGCATGCCTCTGGTATGGTGAATGAGGTTGTTGTAGGCAAATCCATGGAACCCAATGAAATGCACCCTAGGTTTCTAAAAGAATGAACAAATTTTGTCGCGAATTCCTTTGACTTGTGTTCTAATCTGTTCGGAATCCGAAGTAAATTGTTAAATATTGAAAAACACTGCAGCAAGTTGTAAAGACCGAACTGCCAGTATTCGATTTGAACGCTGGATTGATGGTTCGGACTGACGAACCAAAATTTATCCGAATAGGCCAAACTACGTTCTTCTGTGTAGCGTACCAAGCGTTTTGGTGATACTCGTATTAAACTATATCAAAACACAGTTCAGACGGATCTAATTTAGAAAATACAACAAATTATATCAAAAATACAAAATACCTCAAACGTTACAGCCTGTGTTCTACAGTCAGAAGTTTCTCTAACGCAAAGTAGCTCGCTAAACAGTGAAAGAAACAATTAATACAAAATGGGTTTGATACATGAGTATCAAAAAATATTCCCAACAAGATGCTATCAAATATCTATCCTCAGGGATTCCAGCAATCCTCCCAAGCAGATAGTCAAAAGGAAAGAGACACACTGAACCACGCCGTTACCTTGAGCTTAGCCAAACACGACCTTGCTGTCAATAGTCCGGCAACGTGCAGTGAAAAATTAGGTAACAAATGATAAGCATTTAATAAAATTCACATAATAAAAGCTCAGACGAGGAAGACTAAGGAAAAACGTTATGGTTAAACGAGATCTGAACAAAGGTTAAAATACACGATGAGGTGAAAAAACAAATAAATGACAGTACTGTCCAACAAAAAGCTGCGGAGAGATTTTCATCGTTCTCTTTCCGTTACAAAGTCCTTTCTTCCAAGCAAATATGACACATATAATCCTGAGATTTTTCGAACCATGAACCTAATCAACGTGGTTGTGAAAATTTTACCAAAGAATATACGGAATTCGTTTAGGCTTCCAAAAGAGAACCGTATTCTTTCTGAGAAGCAACACGGCTTTGGGACAGATTGTTCACGTCTCACAAAGTTGTCAATAGTCTGTGAACGTTGGTGTGCTCTCAAATGTCTAAAGTTACGTATAGATGTAGCCTACATTGCCTTCAGCAAAGCTTTTGATGAAAGTCCTTACAACCAGATTAATGACTTTCTAGTTGAGCATCAAAAATGGCACAGGACCAGACGTGACTTGATCACAGTTTCTGAATTACTTATAGATACATTTTTGCATGTGACATGCCCCAAAATTTCTTGTCTTCGACAATAATTAACTTACGAGGACACTCTACGAAGTTTCAAAAGCCCAGCACAGATTACTCCCATAGAATCATCAACAAATGGAATTCATCGTTACCTAGCCTACTGTCTTTTCTAAACCAAAACTAAAACTTC